CCTGTTTATGCCAGGGGTCAGCAAGGTTTATCTTGCCTGGGACGGATTGGTCCCACGGAGATCCCTCCATGAGCCGGATCATGCACACACCTGAGATTTCCAGCACCGCAGAAGCGAGCTCCAGCGCTGCACTGTGCCAGTTTAGCACAATGTGCGAGCAGGCAACTCAGTTCGGGGGCGGCTTGGGGGCTGGTCAAACGGCCTCTGCAGGCCACTTCCAGCGCATGGGCTTTAGGTTGCTGACCCCTGGTTTATGCTGTGCATCCATCCTATGCTCAGGTTGTATACATCTGTAAATAAAGCCATATACCCCAAAGGCAGCACAGTCTACAATGACCTTCATTCCAAGGAACCGAACCCCAGTTAAGAACCGGAACCCTGAAGTTCCTTGTCGGTCGCAGATTGGGATGCATGCAACAATATGTTCATTAGAAACTTTCAGAGCAGGCAGCTTGATAAACTGCTTGATAATATTTATATTTACGCTGTTCGTTTTCACTCTTGTGAAGCAATGCAGCCATAAAAATGGATTTGCTAGAATGAGCAGCCTTGCCACTTGAACGCCACATGTAATTGAAAGTCTCTTATGGTAGTCAGTTTTGATCCAATTCCTTCAGGATGCTGCTTTCCACGCTGCTGGAACCTCACACAGTATTGCGGCAGAATCGTCAAAGGGCACATGGGAGAAGTACACTCATGTGAAAACAGCCCTGTGAACACCAAATAACACCCCTCAGTTAAGCTCTGTCACAACTGTCTGTGACACATTTCACCCACCTACCATTTAAACTGTCAGAAAAGGCTAATCAGTGCTCTCCGAGGAGGCAATTAAATAGGCTGGAAAATATATTTTCCAAATAATCTGGCCTTTTAAAGTTGGTAAATCAAGAAAGCAAGCACTTAATGACTTTAACTGAAATAACATATTTACTAATTAGAGCTAGTGCCTCTCATCCTCTGTTGGTTAAATAGATAGGAACGGTACACGTAGCACTGTCTTGCTTTGCACGTAGTGAATTAGATCCCACACTAACACTCTGCAAAAGGCTGACTTGCTTACAACATCCTTACTGAACCGGATAGAGTAAGTACAGGATTTGTAAGAAAGGAGAAATGGGTCTCCAGAAATGTCTAACTTGCCCCTGATGTGGAGGACACAATAGGAAGTATCTCAAACCAGAAAATGAACCTACATTTACGGATTTATTTTTTGTGTTTCTAGCTCACCTTTTCTCTAAGAAGCTCAAGGTGGTGTGCATGATTCTCTGCTTCCACATTTAATTCCAGTAACAACCCTGTTACTGGAGGGCATAAGGAGAAGGGGACGACAGAGGATGAGATGGTTGGATAGTGTTCTCGAAGCTACCAGCATGAGTTTGACCAAGCTGCAGGAGGCAGTGGAAGACAGGAGTGCCTGGCGTGCTCTGGTCCATGGGGTCACGAAGAGTCGGACACAACTAAACAACTAAACAACAACAACCCTATGGGGCCACCCTGTGAGCTTCATGGCTGAGTGGAGATTTGAACCCAGGGCCTTGTCCAGAGCTCCAACCTCTCCACCAAACTGGATCATTAGTTCCTTTTACAAAGGTCCTGCCCCATCTCTATTTTCTTCTTTCTCACCTTCTTCCTGAGCATCTTGGGAATGTCCCATTCAAAACTCTAAAGTGAGGAACCTCAGGCTCTGGAGCTGAATGCATCCGTCTGGGCTTCCACAAAGGTGCACATCCATCGCTCTGTCCACCTATGCCTCTGGCTCCTCCCACTTTTGTCTCAGGCCTCACTCACCCTGGGAAGGTTATCCAAGAGGGAATGTGGCCCTTGGGCTGATGAAGGTTTCCCACCTTCATCAGCCCTGAATGGACAAACCTCTCAAAGCAAAGTACAGAACAAAGTGCCTCTCTCTATTTTCAAAGCAGTGATATGTACATATGGAGTTGATCACACATAGTGGCTATTATCAGAGCTGACAGCAGCAGCCACCTGTTCAGCAACATACTTAAAGTTCCCAGTGCAATGTTGTAGAACCCAAACTGAGATCCAACTGCAAGAAACCAATGCATAAAATATTTTATGCACAGCTTGAAAATTGCTTCTAGGTCAGCGTGGGGAATTCTAGGAATGTACACACACACCCCAACAAAGGCTGCTGCGCATGCCTCTAGAATCTCACTGAAAGAAGGCAAACGTGTTCAGAATCAGGCATTAATGGCATTAAATGACACTGCTGTTTTTTGAAGTCACATTTTCTCTGCTAAATTGTGAGCAATGTTTTCTATGCTTAATTGTGTCTTCCTAATTATGAAGCCATTGTCAAGTGCAGTTTGCTACTTTGGTCTGGAAACATTTCCTGTTGATGTTGATACTAAGAACCAATTCACACAACCATTACACCAGTTTAGATTTTCTGTTTAGGGAGAGTAGGAGACTCCCTTCTCAGTTCAGACAGCATATATTTGTTCCTCAAAATCATCTGAGCCAGGTTCTCAGAAACAGCACATAAAAAGGTAAAGTAAAGCCTGGAATGTACCTCTTTAGACCACAGCTGAGGACTCACACCACTGAATGCAGTAGGAGAGTTTTTACTCATAGAGCTAAAAAAGATAGAACCCTTCACCATAAGGCCTACTTCATTATGTGTAGGGAAATGGTTATTAGTAGTGGTATTATTAGATTATATTATTAGTGGACGCAGATGGTGCTGTGGTCTAAACCACTGAGCCTCTTGGGCTTGCTGATCGGAAGGTCGGTGGTTCAAATCCCCATGACGGGGTGAGCTCCCTTTGCTCTGTCCCAGCTCCTGCCAACCTAGTAGTTTGAAAGCACGCCAGTGCAAGTAGATAAATAGGTACCTCTGCACAACCTCCCGAGGCAGTCCGTTCCCCTGCTAAATGACTCTTACCATCAGAAATATTTTCCTAAAATTAACCACTTATTTTTGCATTTTAATCTCACGTATAACCCCAGATCACAATTTGCTGCAAATGACATCATGCCACACACATCTCTTTTCCTGGCTGGCTTTAATCTGAAGTAGCATTCTTGCCTTAAGCATATCATTGGCCCTTTATGTTTTAATAGTTCCATATTGCAGCGAGTTATGGTTGGTGCCAGCAATGCAATGGTGCTAGCTACAAGTGCATTTTAGACCATTACCTTAGACAGAAAGTAAGCTATTAGCTACACATTGTGAAATGCTGTACTGTGTATGATTTTCTGAGTAAAGCAAATGACCCATCTACCTAGAGTTATATGCCAAGAAGTGACAGGGCATTATTTCACTGCCATGCATGCTCATTCAAAGAAAAATGTCAATATAAATGTGTTTTTTGGTGTGGGGGCACAATGAGGGATCTTTCTTTATGGACAAAGCACCCGGTCACCTTCAAATGTACATGCAGAAAAGCAGAGAAAATTGCAGAAAACATGAAGGTCTATGCACTCTGGTCTTCTTCTTCTTCTTTGGCGATCACTCATTGCCGAGTAAGATTGTCTTCCGCACTCTAGCATTAGTGGGAGGGAAGACACGAGCCCTCTCAATTTAAAGACATACTTTACAAGATGCCACAGTAAAATTTGGCAACTGGTCCTAATCATGAATTCGTAATATATCTTAAGCACTCAAAAGAGAGTTACATAAAAGAAAAAGATAATGTGGAGATTATCTACATTAGCTGCTTTCGAACAGGGCTGTAGCATCACATTTACAGCATACTCCCTATTGTATTATTAGGGCCTCATTATATTCTCTTTTCTGGCTTCTATCTTATTTGAAAGAAAAATATATTTCAAGAGAAAGGTTTTGGATAGACTTCATCTTGCACAATAGAGCCATCAAGGGAGCTTTAGATTTCAATTGGACGTTATATAGGGTAGTTGGCAACTAGTCATAGCATATCAAAAAATGCTGAGCCGCAACTTTCAAGCTGTACCATGTTTCACACTACATATATCACAACAGCGACAAATGTTAGTCTTTAGCCCAGCAATAACCAACATGGTGCCCCCAGATGTGGATGAGCTGCAACTCCCAAGAGCTCCAGCCTGCATAGCTAATGGTCAGGGGTGATGGGAATCAAATTTTGAAACATCTGGAAGGTGCCGTGTTGGATACCCTTCTATGGCAAGGGAGCTGCCAGATGTGGTGGGACTATCAATCCCATCATCCCTGACCATTGGCTATGCTTGGTTGAGGCTGATGGAAGCTGGCTTTCAACAACAACATCTGGAGGTCCACAAGATTCCTACTACAAGGCAGTTTTCAAAGGCCTAGGTAAAAAGGTAAGAAAAAGGTGGCAATCCTACATGAAGAGAGAAAGAAGGAATCCTACCCAAGAGAAAGAAAGGTGGGCTGAGATGGACAATTGGAGCCACAAGTCATCCAGCCACCCAAAGGCAGCCCACTTCTATGCTATACCATTTTACCACAAGCTCAGACAGTTACAGTGCAATTCTGTAGCTTTCATTCAAAATAAAGTCCCAGTGGCATCATTGGGGCTTCCTCCCAGGTGCATCAAAAGGAAAACTGGGAGTGATGTTCACGCACACACTCAGCTAGAATGCACCTATGTGGCCAAACTTCTGTACATATTTGTGTAGACCACTTTGGGGTACATTTGTTTTTATTGAACGGTCTATGTATTTTGCCAAGTAAATCAACATCCATTCCATTTAGTGAGCACCGTTCTAGTCCTAGATAAAGTTGCCTAGCCAGTTACAGTTACTAGCTAGATACAGTTGCCTAGCCAGGTGTGGAGAACCTACAACTCTCAAGATAGTGTCAGCTTCCAGCTCCATTATCTCCAGTCCCCATGGTGAATCATCAGGGCTGATGGGAGTTGGAGTCCAGCTGTGAGAGGTGATGGTTTCCTGGCCTATGTGGGTCACATGCCCAAAGTCCTGCTGGTAAGCTCCCAGGAATAAGTAAAGGCCTTTGTTTTTAGAAGCAGTCTTGTGTCACCCAAGAAATGGGTCTTGAAACTCAGGGCAACTCAGAAGCAGCCTATAGCATGTATTTATCTCTCTCTCTCTCTCTCTCTCTCTCTCTCTCTCTCTCTCTCTGTGTGTGTGTGTGTGTGTGTGTGTGTGTGTGTGTGTGTGTGTGTGTGTGTGAGAGAGAGAGAGAGAGAGAGAGAGAGAGAGAGAAATTAAATCTCACACAGATGTCTGGTGGGAAGTGACATCAGACCGACTGCAAACAGTGCTGAAAGCTAACTACATTTTGGACTTTATTTTAGCTAACAAAAAAGAACCCAGGCTCTTTATTAGTTTTCATCTATCTCTCTGTTCTAAACGTTATGGTGCAGTCGCACCTGTCACTCTTGATGATTAAACACTGTCTCCATTAGATCATTTCAACGAGATATTTTTGAAAGGGCAAAAAGTACACTTGATGGAGCTAAGCCTGAAAAGGGCTTTGCAATATTGAGTTCTTCTTTCAATACCAGGTTATTGGCAGACGGAAGATAAACGGCACAGAAAACTCTCCTGAAGCTGGCATCTTCCTGGGGGTTTGGGGGCTTGCTTAAGTATATTGTTAAAAATCTTTCTTTAAAAACTACCCTTTACTGAATAGCTCAATCATAAATTGATAAACTGGGATTCCCCCAAATAGGCAGATATTCAAAGAGGGAAGAGGGACTACTTTAAGCTTTGGTGATGTGAACCAGTTTCCCTATTTGCACATTAAGATATCACATGCATTTCCAAAGGACTTCCTTTTCATTCATTCTAAATTTCTTGGGAAGACTGATGCCTGCAATCATTGTAAGCAAAAGAAAATGTGCAAAAGAATCCCAGTGCTTATTAAAAATCAAAATAAAGCTGCAGTCCTCTACCCACTTACCTGGGAGTAAGCATCATTGGACTATTCATGAATAGTTATTTATAGCATTGCACTGTAAGGAAATTTTCACCCTCAATAATGGATCTTTTAAATCATCTCATATTGTTTTATAACTCTTTTTATTGATTTCCATTTATGAAACAATTTACAAATGCAATTTCAGATAATAGCAAGGGTAAGTGAGAATTGGTTCAATACATAACCAGTTCTCACTTATGCCCAATTCAGATACCTATTCAGTTTTTGATGTATGTTGATTTAGTCCTAGTGAGTTCAGCTTAACTGTACTGCTCGTTTCTGTGAGTCTCATAGGAGCCCAATACCAATATTTTCAGGTGAAACTTGCTCTCCTTTGACAATCATGATGGGCTTTCTAAATGTAAAAATAAATGCTGAACTTGTTCGTTCTCTGTCTCTCTCTCTCTCTCTCTCTCTCTCTCTCTCTCTCTCTCTCTCTCTCTCCCTCCCCACTCCTCCTGGGGGTGGTGTTAATGATCTCTGCTCCTCTCACATTGCTGAAGGAAGGTTTGTGAATAATTACATAATTAAGGCACATTGTTTCAGTTAATTAAGTGGTGTCCTAAACTGCACTGAAAAATACTTGAGATGCTGGCATATATAGCTGTGATAAAACGTACACCTTATAAACCAGGGATGGGCAGTCATGCAGATAAATACTGTTCCAGGGTTGCTTTTTCAGCAGTTTTAACACTCTGAGTAATAGCCAAAGAAAATATTCTGACACCTATGTGTATGTACTGCAAGAAAGTACAAAGGCAATATAAATTGAACAGTGGACACTGTACGTATTAATTTGTTTTCCAAGTCTTGAAATTGCAGTCTTAAAAACCTGTGAATACTCTTGGCTAGTTGAACAGGAGTCTAGACATCACTTAATAAAAATCCACTGAAATCACTGGATAAAACATTTTTACAGCCTCTCTTTCTGTTTCTCTGCATTGGAATAGTGCAGAATATTTCATTACCTTGGTATTGCATGGGCATTCCAAATACTCATTCTGGATAACTCTGCACAGTGGAGCCTGACAAATATAACAAATAACTCTTAAATTTCTCTTCATATTGATAATCTCAGTATAAGGAAACACGTCTTCCTTATTTAGGCCTGTTTAGGTTTAATTACCATCATGGGCAAGAGTAGTTGTTGGTCCCAACAGTGATTCCATGTGGGCCCATCTTGGCTGTAAGACTGTGTTTGACCCTACTTCTTCCAAAGTGACAGACAGATGTTGTCTGGTGTGTCATGTAGAAGTTTCATAGGAACTGCACTGTACAGGAGTAGGAAGAAATATGGCATCGAGACTCGGGAAAGAGTCAGTCACACACACACACACACACACACACACACACACACACACACAGACTGCTGCCTAGCAGATAAGTTAGCATCACTGCAGACAATTTAGAGCTAGGGCTTCCCTTGAATTTACTTGTAGCACCACCCCAGCCATTAGGCGGCTGCCTCAGGTGTCAGATGCTGGCTGGGTGGAATATTGATGAACAAAGCTATATGTTCTACTCTGCCTGCACTGTGTCTTCTAAGCTAGCCTGCTGCCCTTAGGTGTGATGGAGGCTGCTGTCCCATAGCAGTAGATGCAACCCAGTCTGGCTGAGTTTCTGTTTGCTCTTTGCCTTCAGGTAGGAAGAGCTGCATGGACTTCCCCCATTCACCACAGATTTATCCCTGTCAGATGTTTGGAATCCCTGAGAGGAGAGGTGACAGAAGAGCCTAGCAAGGTGAGGATAAAAGGGCCAACTGCCCTCTGCTTCTAATTTATTGAGGCAGATGAAAGGAATATGCTGTGCCATTTCCCCCCCATCCAGTCTGCATCACTTAATAAGAAAAGAAATTGCATGCAAGATTATCAAAGGGAAAATAAAATTTCAGAGAAATTCTTGTGGGTCCCAAGGTATCTGTTGCACTTACCTTAATTTTTCAGATGGAGGTGCTTAGTTTTTAGTGAGTGTTCGGTCTTTCATTCCACAAATCACCTCAAGAGTGATCTGCTTCAGTAAACCTTCCATTCCCAAAAAGGATGTCTCCAAACTAAGTGATTGGGTGGTAAAATAGCAAAAAAATAGTAAATGTGTGTAAAGTGATGCATGACAACAACAATTTCACATATGGTAACTGAACAGATGGTGACTGACCAGGAACAAGACCTTGGGGCTATAGTGGATAGCCCAGTGAAGATGCTTCTATACAAATCTATGGTAGAGCAACATCTGGAATGCAGTTCTGGTCCCCTCATCTAAAAAAGGATATTGTAAAAAGTCTAGAAAATGGCAAGCAAAATGATCAAGGGGGTGGAGTGACAGCCCTATAAGGAGAGGTTATAGCATTGGGGACTTTTTAGTTTAAAGAACAGGCAAGAAAGAGGGGCAATGATAGAAGAATAGAAAATTATGCACATCATGGGAAAAGCAAGTAGATTTTTTTCCCATAGGGTGGTTTAACAATCAATCATTCTTCATTGGGAACTCTGGGAATTGTGTCTCTGTGAAGGTAATAGGGATCTCTTAACACCCTTCAGCACCCTTAAGAAAGTACAGGTCTCAGAATTCTTTGGGAGAAGCCCTGATTGTTTAACATAGTGTTTTAAAGGTATGGTGTGACTATGGCCCTAGCTGAGGTCCAACATCTCTTGCAGAAAGCCAAAGCAGAAAAAACCCACCATGATAAATGACGCCATCTTTTAAGACATATTTTCTACATGAGTACATTTTAACTAATAAAATATGTTGGTTTTGAATGTTCAAAACATGTTCTGAGTTGCTAAGATTGTAATGTGCAATGCATAAACCAAGCATGACATTAGAACAAGGTATGCAGTGATTGTTTCTGCTGTTTTTGTAAATTAGAGCTGTTTGTAATGAAGCAGCGTAATGGAAATATCAAACCTGGTGATGCCTCTATTAACTTTTCTCAAATCAACGGGCGAGAAAGTTAATTTGAGCTTTATGTAAGACATTTGCTGGATGAAAAGAAAGCTACTTCAAGAATCAGATAAATAGTCTGGAGCTGGGGGGGGGGGGCATCTCTCCTCTCTACCCTATCCAAAACTCTTGAAGTAGAGGCCCATTGACAGAAAGTAAAGGAATCCTAGTTTGGTTTGAACAGGTGACTTTATGGCAGAGAATGAGGAGGGTCCATTTCTTGCCCCTGCATGAATCACAGTGACTAAGCTATTTGTACCCAGGAAAGGGCATAGTTGGTGTACCAGCTTAAGCTGATATTAGGTGCTCCTAGTCAGAGAGCTAACCTGGGCCTCCAGTGACAGAAATGGATCTACCACACACCTTTTCCTTCAGAGGGAGTGCAAGCCTGTCCAGAACTGGTGGACTCTCCAACTCCCTGATCCATTCCAAGCACTGCTTGTGTATCTGGAAGTGACATAGTGGGAGCGACTATTGTGCTTATACACTGTAGCATTAGAAGTAGAACAATTTCAACATTATACAGGGATCTGACAGGTTTGCATTTTATTAACGGCTCATAGGAACCAACTCCTGGGGCTGTGGAGGCTTTGGCCCTGAGAATAAATATTTGAGGGGGCCTGGCCCCCACAAAGTTGATGGACATTCCCATTCAAATGGCATGTGTGCACTGCATCATGTGATCAATTATGAAAGGCGGGGCTTACCTGGGCCACCACAATATTTTATTCAAGTTGGCACCCATGGTTATGGCTCAGTCAGAGTACGATGAAGACCAAGTTATGCTTCACCAAGTCCCCCTTTAACATTGAAGGGCACAGGAGCAATTTTGGACTCGAAGGGACCACCTTGTAGCATGAAGGCCACAGGTGATGAGCACAGTCCATCTGTTGCAAAAACATAAGGATACTGGAAGTCTCCGTATACCGGTCTTGCTCAGCATTGGCCCATCTAGCTCAGTATTGTGTACATCAACTTGCAGTGGGTCTCCAGGGCTTCAGATGGGGGACATTCTCAGCCCCACCAAAGATGCCAGGATCGAATCTGGCGCTATCCAAGCACAAAGCAAATGCTCTATCAATAAGCTATGGTGCTTTTCATGGGAAGGCAGACAAGGACAGACAAAGTGGGCAGAGACATGTTTTATGTGTGCAAGGATATATGCCATTCACACAACACTGAACATGGGAGGCTGAGACTTGCTTTTACTCTGTATTACATGTGCAAGTGGCCTAAGCAAACAGCCCCCAAATAGCACATTGTTGCTTTCTGTTATATGCATGCAATGTGTAGTGTAAATAATTCACTTACTAACTTCTTCTGAATGCAGCTAAAGTTACAGTGATAGCCAAGTAT